GTACATGGGCAAATGCGCCTTTGTGGCGCCGCCCGACTGGCCCGGCTACCGCAAACTCTAAATCAACTGCATAATGCTACATTCCTTCGTGAGCACGACTGACTTGGAGCTGATTTAGTCGAAGGTCCCAAACATAGTCTTGAACAGCAGTGACGGCGCGGTCGTTGATGCTAGTATGCTCCAAGGCTGGCTCAGGAAGAGAAGAGCATACAAGTGGTGCTGGACCGCGGTCGCATGTTGGTTCGGCATCTTACCGGTATACGGTGCAAAGTCATTTGAAAGGTGACAGATAGGTAGAAAAAAGCCCTGGAGCAAAGCAGCGAACGCAGCAAGAAGCAGGGTCTGGAGAGACTACTACGTGCAAGCGAGCGCCTCTGCCAAGCAGAAGCACTTTCTAGGCTACTCGTGAGCCCCGCGCGACAAGCATGCAAGCGCTTACGCATACAGTGTCTAAGTCTAACGTGGTAAAAGGCAAAGTGAAATCCCTCTGCATATAACTGGCTTACGCTCTCGCCCTGCTCATGCCCCAACCATTGATGCGCTGCGGGCTGCAGTTTATTGAACCTTGTAGCCCCCTACAGTCGATAACGACGTCAATGACAAAACTGAGATCGGGTTGTTGAAAATGTTCTTCAGCAAATCGTTTTGGCGTTTCATCACAAACCAAAGCGCGCGAGATCACTCGTTGCTGGAGACGGAGGGGAGTTGGATTTACTCCAATGTCCCGAGAAGACCAAGCGCCGAAACAAATGGGTCGACATGAGATTGATACTTCGCCTTCAACGCCACCCGAGGTGAAGCTCGGGGACGGATGTTTGTTTTTGTTGCACCATGAGCTGGCGAATCTTTGACGGAGTGTGGAGGTCGGCGTTGGCCCGCACAGTCGCAATCTGCTCGTCCGTCATTTTCACCGACGCAGACTCACAGCCAGGTGCTTCATTCGTGGACGAACGTGATGAAGACGTAAGATGCACAAAAGCCGAGAGAGAGACGACCACAACAATTAGCTTTAACGCTCGGATGGCTGTTGCGTTGCTTCTCGTCTGGAATTGGTTGCAGGTTGCGTCGCTTGGCTGCGGACCTGGCGGAGGCATCCGCATCCACCGAGTTCTGACTACTACTAGTCTTTATTGGGAAAACACGAGGCAGCCTTATTTCTTGGCCGAGCGTTTTTGAGTCCATGGATCTGGATCTCCTTTGCCCCCGCCAGGTTCCGGTAAGTGCGATTCCTTTCTGGACCATCAATAGATTGCAGAAGCGTGGCAGCGCGAGACAAGGGTCAATAATTATTGACCCATGCGCGAGAGTACTCATTCCTCAATTTGCGTCCTCGATCACAGCAAGGTGCGCACCTAGTTCATCCACGATCTATGTGTGTACCGCTTCATCACAGCGTCAAGTCGGGCAAGATTGGCTCGAAAAATCATGGCATTCGCGAACGAGAGATGTTGGACATTTGCGGGGCCGCTGAGCTCGTCTTTTTGCGTCAGTTTGGGTACCGCTTCTATGGTGATTTGGCTTTGAAGCCTGGTCGTCAAACGGACGGTCCTAGCTATTTCGTATCTTTGCGGTGTTGGCCAGGACCTCGCGCAGACGCTCAGGCAGCCGACGACCTCCTCGCCAACACGGTCGCCTACGCCGATGACTCGGACTTCATCTGTGACGACGACGCGGTCATGACCAGGATCAAGGAGGCGGCGCCAGCCGTCTTCGCCCGGTGGGACCTCAAGATGAATGAAGACAAGACGGAAGAAACAAAGGTATTCAGATCGACGCAGGCCGACGCGCCGACACACGCCGCCTCGCTGGCGTGGCACACGACCAAGAAGCTCGGCAGCCTCCTCGACGACGCGGCCGATTTGCGCGCCCGGAAGCGACTGACGACAACGGCGTTCAACAACATGTGGAAGATCTGGATGCGGCGAGGCCTCATCTCGGAAGGCACCCGTGTGCGGCTTTACAAGTGCTACGTGCTCCCGGTCCTTTTGTACAACTGCGGCACGTGGGCCCTGACGCCAACCAGCCTCGCGGGCCTTGACAGCTTCCATCGCCGGCAGCTGCGTCGGCTGCTCGGGATCTTCCACCCGAACACGCTTGCCGACGTCGCTCTACACACGCTGTGACAGCGAGCCGTTGAGCACGATCGTTGCCCGCCAACGTTGGCGCCTTCTAGGCCACGTGCTGCGACTGGGTCGAGACGTCCCGGCCAACGTGGCTGCGGACCGCTTCTTTGCTCCATCCGAGGCGCCCCGTTTCTTAGGACGCACCAAGATCACGCTGCCGATCGTCCT